GTAAAACACATGGGGGGAATTTCCAATACCTCATCCAGGGACCATTCCTCACTTTTGTGTATATAACTGATAGTCTGGTTTTTCAGAATAAAGAAAATTTAAGGATACGGCCCTGTGATTTGAGGGAGGTGCTCAGCAGTACTGCCATATGAGAAGGAGATGATAAGAAACACATAAAAACTAAGGATGAGAACTCAGGGTAGAGGTGAATTTCTGTGGCTATATGTGAAGTTAAAATGCAACAGAAATTCCCTAGTACATCACCTTCTCATTGAACATGGAATTATTGTAAACAAAATCCTTGAGAAAATACAAAGTATGGGCTTCCAGCTCTTTAATGAAATATGAAAATGTGTAATTTCCATTCACAGTAATTACAAATGAAGTGAGTCCCTTTCTTAGAGTTACCTGGGTGGTAAGCCTTACATTCACTGCTTTATCTTCTAGTTCCATTAAAAAATTTTTGTGTGCTTTTGTCAGGTAGGTATGTCACATTCCCCAGTCTCCTCAAAACAGTAAAAACAGCAACAGTGTTCCTCTTGTAAGTTGAATTCATGTGTAATTTTGTCTGACTTGCTAGTCAAAACACAGGAGAACTGTGTCCTCTGAAGGATAGCGATGCATGGCAAGCCTTCCCAGGTCTTGTGGCTGGACTTACCCTACTTTAGCCTTCATCATTTCTGTGGTGCAGTTTTGCTAGTTCATAACCTGAGTATTTGATGTTTTTCATTTGTGTGTGGGAAACTCACTATACTTTTCCCATCATGACTGGGGAATAACTAGTAAGATACTAGTGTATGTCCCAAATTTTATGTTTTCCATTCTTTTATAATGCTCTTGTTTTTTTTTTTTTTTGTCCTTTCTATGGTCCATGGCATTAAGCTGATTATCTTGTATGATAATGTTACAGAGTAGCTTGGCAGACAGTTGCCTAGTTAAGTTGCTGGGCATTTTCATGCCTGCAGATTACCTTTTCCTTGCGTCTTGCCTTGCCAAGACAAGTGCAGGTATCCTGTGAATGTACATGGAACAAAGAAATGTGCATGGAACAAGAAACGAGCATTTAAACATTGTTGGTTGAATAGATTGCTCCATCTTGCTGAATCAGGTCCCTTCTATTCCAGTGAGGATGGAGTCTGGATCGCTTCTGATGAAACTGTTAAAAATTATAAAACAGCCTTAGATTTAGCAAGGTATAGCCAAGGAAAAAGAGGCTCAACAGCTTTGGTTGTGGATATATAAGACTCTGTGACAGGGTTCATAGTGGCCTTTATTCACTTCTTTTATTCACTGCATTTTCCTCTATGATGTGGCTATTGGGTGGTTGAGCTATAGTATTAAGAATGCATGCTTTTCTTAAGTTTCCCATGTGTGTTTCCACAGGGTGCTTGGACATGTACATTACATTCTTATGTGCATTTCCTTATCTTCCCTTCCCTGCTTCCTTCCCAGTAACCTGTGATAACTACCGAACACCATAGGAGGTGGATAATCTACTATATATTAGCTTTCGTATTGCTGTGACACAGTACCTGAATCCACAGTTTGAAAGAGAGTTTTAGTTTGGCTCATAGTTTCCAGAAATTCACTGCATGATTGGTTGGTTCTCAAATGAAAGGTTGACATTTGTCTACCCCTGAGCCTGCCATAGGTTGCGTATTTATGATTCCTGAGATGCTTTTAAGGCATCTTTCTTCTAGTCCCTGTACAAAGTTCTTCTCTCTCTCTCTGTCTCACTCAGCTTGAGTGTTGGACTGTCTTAAAATTTCCTCCCCCAGATTGATTAGTCCAGTGACCTTAACTTTAGGGTACTGCAGAGTGTCAGGATGTGGGTAGAATACAGACAAATTTTCTGCCTGGCGTAATACACGTGGCCTCTAGTCCAACTGCTAATATAGTCTTTCTTCTCAGTTGAAACCATCTTGAGCTTGGCCTTTACTGTTGCCATTCCAATCAGCATTCTGGTCTTGTGAGCTTTGACCAGAACCACTTATTAGGTTCTGCTTACAGCATTGTAGGGTTACTTTAGTTCACATCTCCAAACTTTTCCAAGTCTCTCCTGCAAATGGGTTCCAGAGGTTTTTGCACCAGATGGTCAGGTACAGTCATAGCAATGACCTTCCTCTAATACCAGTTTTCTGTATCACTTAGCTTTCCTTAAGTAGACCACAATCTGTGACACTCACAATTTAAAGGAGGAAAATTTTAATTTGGCTTAAGGTTTTGAGGAGTTCAGCCCATGGTCACTCAGGTCAAAGGAAGGAACATCATGGAGGAAGGGCCTGGTGGAGCATAACTACTTAATTCCTGGTGGACAGAAAGCAGAGCATGGGAAAAGTGCTAGAGAGGAGGGTGTGAGTACCAGGTAGAGTACCTCCTACCCAGAACCTGCACTCCCTAGCCTCAGGGTCCATACAAGAAATAATGGTAAACGGACAAAATAGTTAATTGGATTTGAGGCTCAAACCCAAATTTTATTTTTTCTGCTTGGAAAATAATACTTTTATTATTAAGAGGTATTAGTGAAGGACTTACAGTGTTAACGATGACATATTAAAGAAGTTAAAAGAATAAGGACTTTCCAGATGAGATCACAGCACAAGAAGGTGAGGGAATGTCTTTTGCTGCAGGCCCAGAAAAGTTTGGGATTAAATATAGCAACAACAACAAAAAAACCCCTTTCTTGTATAGCCACGTTTGAAGACAGGAACATTAAATTTCCAGGTGCCAGAGGCAACTGAGAGCTGGGAAGTTAGAGTCTAGAAACCTGTGAGAGAGAAGTTGGATTCGCCTCTGTGAGCTTAACACAGACCAGGGCTTAGAATTGAGATCATGGCGGCATATGTAAGGCGTGACAAGAAGTCGACAGATTCCTGGAGTATTTTTACCTCAGGAATCAGATCAGATAGAGAAAAGAAACTAAGAAATAATTTCTACATAGGTATAATCCAATTTTTGTTATAAAATAGGGCTACTTATATACTCATGTTTGATTGAAGGGGAGCCTGGTACTGTAACTCATCATTTATTTTCTGTCCCTTTTGTTTCTTCTTTTCCACTGAGCTTGCATTTTAATGCATTTTTAAATAAAGTTATAAGATAGAAAAAGGATAGTCTCTTAGTCGGTAGCTTTTTTCTATAGTTTTCTAGAGTACAATTGGCAAAACTTGTAAATATTCAAGGTGTACAATGTAATACTTTAGATATGTGTACATATTGTGAAGTGATTATTTTAAGCAAAATTGTTAACATATACCTCACCTTACTTTGTTATCTTTTGTGTGTATGTGTTGTCATATTAAGATCTTAGTAAATTTCAAGTACACTATGTATAAAGTCATTAAATTATTATGACATATTTTAGTACCTGAGAAAGAACCTAAAAAGACGACCTTACTATTCCATTTGCATCAGTTGGCCTACCTCCAAATCAGTTATGACAATGTCAAGATTATTGTAATTTTAATGTAAAGACCATTTCATTCATTGGAATAAACTATTGGTCTTTGGGCTTTGTACTTTTATTTGCTCAAGAACTCAGTAATTGCCTCATAAAACAATGTCATGGTCCTATTAACACTGAATTATAAGACCTGTTATTACAGAATGTGCATGCCTAGTAGAGACAAGACTGACTTGTTTGATGCTTAATTAGTTTCTCCAAATTGGGTTATAATGAGTAGTGTAAAATTTTACCTATTTAACATAAAAAAGTTTATGGTCTCTTGAGTGGCTTTTGGTACTTTCAGGGAAGGGGTTTCATTTAAGTGGGATAGCAAGAAGGAGGCATACTTGGTGTTCAGAATGGAGATGTTTAAGATTGAGAAGAAATACTTCATTTCTGTCACACCTGTCTGAAATAAATTTGAGGTACTCATTAAAGTATTTGATTAATTTGGATATTGAGTATTAAAAGATTCATAGGCAAATACTTTTGAATTTGAAATTTGGGGGGAATTTTTTAATAAATGATAGAAATTTAACCGTGAACTATATGACAATTTATCTCCAAACTTGTTTAAAATCCTGCGTGTTTATATTTATTTATCCTTTGTTCTCACTGCTAAACATTTGTGCTACAAGTTTTAGGTATAGTGGAAGGAATATGTAAATACAAGGTATAATTCTCAATAAAACTTTACTGTTATTCTCCTGTTGTACTGAAAAGCTAAATATGACATGAGGCAAGTACCATTTTGGAATGGAAGTAGGCTTTGCATTAGTTTGAATTTTTGTTTGAATTTCATATATTCTGTGGAAACAGTGGAATCTGCCTTGGAGCCTAATTCTGCGCGGGGTGCGGGGGATATGTCTGAGATAACAGGAAAACTCAAAGAGGTGTTCAGATGAGAAAAATGTTAATATGCAACAAGTTAAAGTCAAGTCAAGGAAATGATGAGGAGGGTAACTAGCACATGAGTAATTACCAAATTAATGATTAATGGCTAAGTCAGAATTTGCAGCAGTTGCAGTATATGTAGTTAATCTTAGTCTCCTTGCTTGGATTAAGTGCTTATGAGTATTTTGATTTTAATGAAAGAGGAAAATTTATGATAAATAGGTGTAAGTTTTTCTCTTTGGACTCATGCCTGGCTAATTAGTGTAAAGATAGTAATACAGGAGTTTTTGTTTGGCATTTTTACCATTTCAAAATGTTACCTCACTTTTTCTTAAGAAAGCTGTGTGGTATGGTCACTATTATTATTTATATGTTTTTAAAATTTACATCTAGTAAATGACAAAGTTTAGGAGTAAAAGGTTATGTTCATATGTTTGCTTGAGGACTCTGGTGTTAGTTTCCCAGTTGAGACCATTACTTTGCCTTGTCTCTACCCCTTCTCAAGGCCATACACAATAGTAATATTTCTGTGTAATCAGAATAATTTGGGTTTCAGCAGACCTTATGACAGAGCACTTAAGATTACTGACTTTATGTCACTGAATACAGGTGATTTTTGTGCTCCTGAATCTGTTTTAAAAGAATGGTGGTTCTCTTGCAGGAAGCCAGTTGAGGGAAATTCTCCATGAATGTACGTCACAATGATGATGACCGACCAAATCCCTCTGGAACTGCCACCACTGCTGAACGGAGAGGTAGCCATGATGCCTCACTTGGTGAATGGAGAAGCAGCCCAGCAGGTTGGTGTGGTGAGAGGGAAATTTCAAGTCAAATTGTCTAAGTGGGAAACATTAACCTCCTAGTATTTATTTTGGTATTCAGAAGTCTTTGATTTTGAACTTTAGTAGTTTCAAGAACCTAGTGTTCTTGTGTGAAATTTTTACTCTATGATTTTGTTCTAAAAAATCAAATATTCTTATTTTTAAGAAGAGCAAATCTTACCTCATCCAGTTAGTATTCTTGAAGGCATTGAAAAAATGTGATTTTTGAAATGAGTCATTTTGAGACTGTGTACAGGTCTTTGTCATAAAATGACTGTTTATTTGTGTCATATATTATGCTTGACTGGTTTTGCTGGGTTGACCAGAGCAACATGCTGAGAGGGTCAGGTTTGATTTTATGCAGGAGTGACCTTGACAAGATGCACAGGTCAGGGTGAACCCACCCTTCTCCTTCCTAGAACAATCCTTCCAAATGTGTAACTCATAAAACAAGAGTGCTTATTTTTTGTAGATATCCTTTGTCAGTGGGTACCTAACATTATGGTATAGAAAAGTAGTTTCTGAACTTGATCCTGTAACATTCAGGGAAATAACTTAAATTATAAGTAAAACTTAAAAATCTTTAGGAATTGAGCTATTGGAATAACAATTTTTTTATTGATGATAAAAACTGGGTTTGCTCGGTCTAGTAACTAAATAAATGTTTTCTTGCTGTCCATTTCTTTAGAAGCATAAAAATCTTTGTTTTATGAATAGTAGAAATGAAAATACTTGGTTGAAAAATATTTATCCATAGTATAGTAGTAAGTCAAATATGTTAGTCATTTATTTGATGGCTATACATGCCCGCTTTCTCTTTTTTTTTTTGGTTTTTCTCCGGTACCGGGAACTGAACTCACGACCTTGCGCTTGCCAGGCAGGCGCTTTGCCCCTGAGCTAAATCCCCAGCCCCTTATGCCCACTTTCTCTATCATAGTACGTTAACACTTTTTATCATAGTACATTGTATGTGCCTCTCTTTGAATCTTACCTTGTTGCTCAATGATTTCTGTTACTTTCTTTAGATTGACTGTTTCTGTAGATTGCTTTAGACTGCCTTTCAACAAAGAACATCCAATAGGTGCTCAATAAATGTTACTTGAATAAATTTCATTCCTTCTCATCATTGATCATTGATCCTTTTCTGTTTCTCCATCTCCTTGTGTACTAGCTCTTTTCTACTGTATTATCCTCTCTTTTAAACACACAGACACCTATACCTTACCGCACCCAGTAAAGCAAAACCTTGCTTCAGCGCCATCAGTCACCACCTCCTTTGTCTTTATGAGGGCTACTTTTCTAAGTGGAGTCTCTGTGTCCTGCCTTCCTTGCCCTTTCCTCTTCAGCTCTGTGCTCTTCACCGTCTCTTCTCACCCTTTTCTTTTGGACGATCAGCATCTCCTGTGGAATTAATCTCAGCAGTGCTTCTCCCCGGTCTCTGCTTCTATTTTGCCCTCACAAAAAGCGTTTTCTACACAGCAGCTGGAGTGATCCTTTCAGACTATGAAGTGGATTGTCAGTGCCTTAAAACCTGTTACACCTGGAACAAAATCTGACCACGCGCATGCCTGTTATCCTCACACGCAGTCAGTCCTGGCCTCGTTCTTCATCATCTCTGCTTGCCTCGCTCTTGCCTGCCTCACTCCACGTATCCATGGGAAGCTCTTGAAATGCTGTGAATGATTTCAAGATACAGTCTTTGCTGTCCCTTCTTTTTACTAAGTAAAAGAATTTTACAAGGCAAGGTATTCAAATGTGACTGAAGTTGAAAAGCAACCTAGGTGCCCCATATATAGTCAACTCGTTCCTGTTTGCATGCCAGAAGAGTGGAAGCCACCTGTCTGTGGTGTTATGTGCCAGGTTTTTGATCATTTCTCCTCATTTCTATGGTTCACTTTGCCTAGAACAGCCTTTTCTAGTTTATTAGGTAATATTACCTACCATAAAGAGCCTTCAGTTTCAGAACTTTCCAGTTTGCTCCTCAGAGGTGAGTGCCTTTGCACATAGATATGACCGGAGACTGCAAAGACCATAGGTCTCCTCAGAGGACCATGTGGCATTTCCCTACTCCGCATCTCTGACCTCTACTCTAAGCAGAAGCTGCTTAATAGTTTTGGCTAATAAAACCGTGTTTTCATTGCATCTGAGAAGCTTTCTATGAAGCTGAAAAGGGAAAATTGTTCATTTATCTGTTTTATAAACAGTCAAGTAGCAAGCTTTCTCAAAATGTATGGTACACTTAGTCTAAACACATCTCATGGGAAGGAAATGTTCAGTCTTTTTAATTAGTAAATATGTCTGATTGTGCTGGGAGCATTAACATTTATAGGTTATGTGGGCCAAGCTATTGATTGGTGTTAATCTTAATGGGGCAAAGTTGTTAAGTGGGCAAAATGTGTTTGAAATCATTCTCTCCGGAAGATCAACCCAGGATTTTTCATGCTTTGATGTTGCTTCTACAAGACTGGGATTCAGCCCAGGCAGTGGCCTATGTGACTGACATTTTTTCCTTGCCCGCAGGGTCCCTTTCCTGTATTTCCCTCATTCCTTTAAGTGTCTAGTCCTTTCTTTGGGTCCCAGCAGTTAGTATTGACCTAGGTGAGTGTGGCAGTTGTGGGGGTCTGTGTGTGGAACTTGGGCTAAAGCACAAGGGGAAGACAGACTGAAGGAGCAGATAAAACCAAAAATTGCAGTGAATTCCCAGGAGAATAACAGAGCGGGGAGAGATGGAGGGGCATCTCTCCCAGGGTAAAGACCTGGGAAGAAAGAGGATCTCCAAGGTAGAGTCCAAGATTTTGCGACTGGGGGAGTTCTGAGTTCTGAGTGCTTGCTTGGGTGCTGTTAGGTATCCATTGCTTCGTCTTTGGGGCCTGTGTGGTATGGTGCTCAGGTGTGTCTGTTAAGGGTTCAGGAGAAGAGGGACAGACCAGAGGATGTGAAATATATAGATTTTTTTTTGAGGCTTTCAGTGTGCTCTTCTGAGGGAACATATTTTCATATGAACAAGAACCTTTTGTAGGCACAGGATTGCCTTCAGTGATGGACATTGCAGGCATTGTAGGGCAGACCTCGGAGTGACAGTTCAAGGTTAGGGGTATTGTAGCTACTTCTCAGATGATAGTGTTGTCAAGAGCCACCTCTGGCCACAGGGTTCTTCCTAAATGTCTATCAGGAGCGCATATGGTGAAGCTTACCTCCTATGTATTTATAGCATGCTTAATACTTTGCAGCTGTGCAAAGGGCATTCTAAACATCGCTGTATATGTAAAAGAACCACCACCATTATGAGAAAGTTCTTCAGTTCCCACAGCCCCCCTCCTCCTAATTTCTGTCCTGAAGCTTTCTGGATTTAATTAGAATTAGTTCTTGGAGGGACTCTCTGCTATGGTCTGGCCCTTTAAATAAGAGACAGTGATAATTTTCATTTTTAAAGTCATGTTAAATTTGAAACCTTGGCTTGTCATTTTATGTAGGTGGAAGGGAAAGGGGAAGACTGAAAAATTGATTCTTTCCTGAAAAAGGAAACATCCTCAGTATAAGTGAAACTTTAAAAAATACACTATCATTTTAAAAATGAACAAGACACAACATGTATAGAATGAACTTATTAACATCTTTGTTTTCAGTTTTTTGATATAACTCATGCAATATAATTTACCTAATTAGAATATGCAATCAATGGAATTTTGTATGTTCACTGGATTGTACAAACCTGACTATGATTAATTTTAGAAGATCTTTAACCTAGAAAGAGGATATTACTGCCTACTCCCCTTCCCATTCATAGGCAATCACTAATCAATTTTGCCAGTAGATATTGCCTGCTATTTATGTAAGTGAAATCATGAAATACTTGGACTTTTGTATTTGGTATCTCTCACTTTGCATGTTTTTGAAGTGAGAGAAATGCTTGAAAACTGGCTACATGTTGCGTTACAATCTCTGCTGCCAATGGATACCCAAACCTGAAGATGCTCAAGTCCTTTATAAAAATAGTGTAATATCATATACAGCCTTCACACAATGTTCTGCATACTTTAAATCAACTCTAGATGATTTCTACTACCAAATAAAATGTAAATACTGTGTAAATATTTGCTATTTTGTAAATATTTCCATTTTGTGGCATGTATCAATACTTTACTCCTCTTTTACTGCCAAATAATATTCTATTGTACAGATATACCATATTTTATTAATTCATTTATCTATTTATAGACATTATGGTGGTTTCTACTTTTTGACTATTAAGAATAATACTGTCAAGAATATTCATATGCAAATTATTGTGTGGACATACAGGTTTATTTCTCTTGGATATGTAATTAGTGAAATTAATTGGCTTTATTTGGAACTGTTGTCTTGTAAATGAATGTAGCTGCTTTTCTCACTAGTAATTTTGTCTACCTCTGGATATTTATAGCCCAGCAGAGCTAAAATTTGCTTCTCTTAATATACCTATTTGTCTGTTGGTCTTTTGGGTTTTTTTTTTTTTTTTTGGTCTTTTTGAGACAGGGTCTCACTATGCAGTTCAGGCTGGCCTTGAGTTCACTTTGTAACCTAGGCTGGCCTCAACTCGCAAGGATCCTCCTGCCTCAGCCTCCTGGAGTGCTGGGATTACAGGCATGCGCCACCATGCCTGGCTCCTATTTGTCTGTTTTCTATGCTTTAGCTGTAAACTTTTGGTTTGAGTTTTTAACATATGACTATATAACAATGAGTATCTTTCAGTGATCAAAATAATTAGTGCCTACGCTGAGATTTTTAGAACAAGACACAACATGTCTATTAGTACATGTAACTTCCTTTTTTATAAGCTTGTGGTACATCTTAAAGCTTTAAAGATGTGGTAGCTAGTTTTGAGCACAAAAGAATAAATACCAGCTCAGTTTCTGACTTTTAAATTGGCTTAATACTTTAACAGTCTCTGAAGAAGAATAGAGCAGCCACTAAAACCATTAAGTTAAGAACAGAAGTAT